AGTACCCCCAAGTCCTTCTCGGCGGGGCTGCTCTCCATCCCTTCATCCCCCAGCCTGTGTTGATACCAGCAGTTGCCCCGACCCAGGTATCAAACCCCCCAGCCCATCCCAGGGCACCCTCGGCAGGGGCTGGAGCGGCCCGTGGGGTGCTGTGCCCTGTGGCTGCCCAGCTGCTGTCCCACGGGGCGAGAGGCGAAGAGGAGGGGAGGAAGCAGATAAAAGGCTGCACCTCCCGGGCCCCTCGCTACCACCCTCGTCCTCCCCCGCCCCCCACTCAGCCCTCGTGCCATGGCTTCTGAAGGGCAGAGGGTCCTCGGGACAAGGCGTCGTGGGGGAGCTCGGTGCAGAGTTTGGGAGCACAAACGGCCCCGCAGCAGCTCGGGCTTCCTCGGGACGGCCGGGTGACGGCTGCAGCCCCAGCCAACCGTGGGAGCAACAGAAGCGAGCTCTCCCAAGCCACCCCCCTCTGTGCCTCCAGTCCCCAGAGAGCCCCCGGGGCTGCGGGGCACAGCAAACCGCACGTCCCCGTCCTCAGCACGGAGATCCTGCCCCACGGATCCCTCCCCGCCCCACGGATCCCTCCCCGCCCCACGCCCAGGGGCCGCTCACTTTCGTCATGGTGTGGCGGTTGGCGGTGCGGCGCCGGGCCGAGCGGGTCTTGCACCCGGAGTCGAGCGAGCCAGGGAGCCGGCGCTGCTCTCCAGCTGGGACCGCGTGCGGCTGGGGCTGTAGAGGCTCTCCAGGGACTCCACCTTGCGGGGCAGCCGCTGGGACGCCAGCGACTCTTCGCTGCCCGGCGGCACCGCCGAGGCCTCCGACTGCGAGCGGCCAGCCTTCCTGCAGAGACGGGGCACGAGGGCAGCGCTGACGGGCTTACCGGGCCATCAGGGAACAGAGAGGAGCGGGGACAGCGGGTTTTTGCGACGCTGGCGGCAGGACGGGCTCCGCCGAGCCGCAGCGCGCCGGTACCTGGTGGAGTTGAGCGGCTGGGCTTCGTCAAGGCTGAGGTCGAGGCTGTCGGCACTGAGATCGGCGGGGTTCTGGTGGAAAGTCTCCCGGCCCTTCAGTGTGTCCGTCGTCACCTGGAACTTGCCGAGCTCCCGTAGCTGCCGATTGGCAAACTCCACCTGGATGGGAAGCAAGGAGGGATGGATCCTCCAAGCGAGCCGGCAACGGAGGCGAGGAGGAGGAGGAGGAGGGTGAAGCCCTGCTGCGCCGTGCCCACCTGAGCCTCCAGGCTGTGGACCTGGCTGGTGAGGTTCCTGCAGCTCAGCTCCGACTCCTTGGCCCGCAGGACGCTCTGCTGCAGCTCCTTGGCCAACCTCTCCGACTCGGTCCGGAGCTCCACGTTCTCCTTCTGCAGCTGCTCCATGGCCTTCAGCTTCTCCACCAGGTCCTGGTTCTGCTGCTTCTTTGCGTCGTAGTAAGTTTTTGCCTTCTCCATCTCGGACGTCAAAGAGAGGAAAAACCCGTCAAGCTTCCCCGTGGCGCGCTGCCGCGGGGGGGACGGGGGGACAGCGGGGCCGTGCCAGCCCCCGGCTTACCTGGCCTTTGTAGTGCTCGGCCGCCTGCTCCTTCTGGGCGAGCTGCACCTGCAGCTCTGCCACCTTCTCCTGCTGGCGGGTGGCCTCTGCCTGCAGCTCCCCTTCCAGCACCTGCGGGCAGGGAAGAGACCAGCTCAGAGGCGCCCCGCGCCCCCGCCTCGCTCGGCTGAGCCCCCCCCGGCCCCGCGCGGGGGCGGCCACTGACAGCTCCAGGGCTGACCGAGGGCTCAGCCCAGTTCGGGCCCCAGGTTTTCGGCCCCCGTTTACCTTAACCCTCTGCTGCTGGGTTCGGGTGGCCTTCTCATGCTGGGTCAGCTTTTTATTCAGCTCCTCCACCTGGAAGAGCACAGCTTGGTTAGACCAGGCGTCAAGTTGCGCCAGGGGAGGTTTAGATTGGACGTGAGGAAAAATTTCTGTACTGAA